ACTTCAAAATTTTCTGATGCATAAAAGTATTTTTAATCTTAAAATGAAGATTACTTTGCATGATAGATAGGCAAGATGTGAAATGAAAAAAATAGGTATGAGAGAAACATTGCTTTACAAACCTTAAGACTTAATAAGAAAAATTAGATATCTTGCATATGAAAGCATTGTAATGTTTACTGATAAACTGCCAAGTTTCATTAACATTTGCTTACTAATTTAAAAGTTATAGCATGAAAACTATAACAAGTACAAAATGGCTATGAGGTTGGTCCCAGGGACCGAGCCCGGGTTGAGAGAGTTAATTCTGTTTCATTGAGCATAACTATTGTTCCTGAACTAGCTACAGACATTAAATAATAAGTTTTAAAGTTCAATTCTTTTTTATATCATAGGTTTTATGAGGAATAAATAAGTTTACTTTATTCATGGATTGTAATAATGTACTTGAATATTTACACTGTAGTTGTCTTGCAGTGTACTATATTTATCAGTTACTTAATGGACTCATTAGGTCAGACTTGATTAATATCCTGACCTTGTTTTTATGATAAATTTTGTAACTTAATGAATGGTTAATGAAATCTAACTGTAAATACAGTTGTCTCTTCATCATGCAGTGTAATATATCTGTATTCAGTAGCTCATGGATAATTTATTTGAATGTCAAGGTAACATTACAGTACATTTTCTAACAACAAATTTGATATGTTATTCTATTATGGTATGAAAGTTTTTACTTCACCCATTGTTATGGGTTGAGGTAAATAAGGTTTTCCATTGACTGGGTGGTAATTTTACAGTGTAAGTTATAGGATAGAGTTTGTGATTGTATCAGTACATCTTTAAAAAATAAGTTAAAAACTTGGTAATAATTAAACCATTCTAGCCAGTGAGTCTCCATATTAATTATATAATTATATATAATGAATCTCCATAATAATTCAATTATTCTGTCTAATGAATCTTGATGATAATTAAACTGTTTTGGTCAGTGAATCTCAATAATGTTTCTACTACACAATAGATGTCTTCATTTTTATCCTCATTTATTAAAATAAAATTTAAAATTTCTTTCTTTAAAGGAATAAAAGAATACTGGTCACATTAATTTAAACATTGAATTGCTTTGAAAACAGAACTTTTTAATTTATATTATGTTTTCATTTTTGCTTGTACAAATGCAGTTTTAAGAATTTGTGTTGAATAAGTTAATAAAAAAAATAACTAGTACTACAAAAATAAAATATTTTTTAAGGCTAGTCCTCAATATAAAGTAAGAGATTTTTTGTTATAGTATCAATTACATCAGCATTTTCAAGCATCAGATGTTATATGTATAAATATATATTTAAATATCTGTGTATAATATGAATGTTGTACTGCTTTTAGGTCTGTGGCAGATTTTCCCAAGTTTTTAGGTATAGCGATGGAAACTTTCTTTATATGTTGTGATGACAATGATTCTGATGTTCGTATGGTTGCTGATGAGTGTTTGAATAGAACAATCAAGGTAAGGAGATTTCATTCACGGTATGTTATTTTCATGGGTTTTGCCATAAGGGATTGCTTATGCAATAAAACATAATTCTAGTCAAGCAATTTTGTGATTATGCTTTCATTTACATGTAGCTCTAATATATTGATATTCTTATGTATATGAAGAATATTTAGTTGAGGTTAAAAGTAAAACTGTTACATTATTATTTTGATGATCCTGTTATTTGTATTTTTTTTTGTTCTTTTGTATTTTAATATGTGGCTGTATTTTTATGGATATTTGGTGCATATTTATAGTTTTTGTTCCCTAAGTGTAAAACTAAAAATTCATCCAAAATATGAAAACAGTTTGCATAGAAGTAGAAAGTTGATGTGACCAATGGATATTTTTACAGTATTGTTGTTTTTTTTTGTACTGACTATGATATTGAACAAAAATTGGGTTATAAGCTAGCAAAATAAATTTATATGTAAAACGTTTTTATTATTATTTGAAGCTATAAGTACTCAAAACATTTAATAGCAATTTCAACTTGTACATTTTAGCTTATTTGCTGTCTGTTAGTATTTAAGCATATTTGAACTGTAACTAGATTTTTTATGAAAGTTCAAAATTAGCATTGTGATGCTCTTTTAACTCAACTAATAATTATGTATTTATGTGCTGTGCTTATACTTTCCTAGACTCTGCTGGAATCCCATCTTGCTAGAGTTCAAGTGGAATTGTACAAAGAGATAAAGAAAGATGGCTCAGCCAGGTGTTTAAGACCAGCTTTAAGTCGGTTTGCTGATCTCTGTCATCTCATTCGACCACAAAAATGCAGGTAAGAGTGTTAAAAGTCATTTACCACTAATTGTGACTTAAAATTATTATTTTGTATTGTATATGTTTTTTGTAATCTGATAACCTTAAATGAATGCACAAATCACTCAGGATGTGAGGGTATACTAGCCAGAGAGTGAAATCCTTATTATCATCTAGGTATGTGCGTTTTTTGGAGATTTGCAGTCTTCCATAAGTTATGATTTAAAAAGAGCTTATGAATTTACAACTAAATAGTTTATATCTAAGGCCTTAAATTAACTCTTTCAACAAAGAGGATATTTTAGTAGTGTGCATATGAAGCTCAGTGTAAATATTTCTTAGGTTGTCAGGGAAGAGTAAAAGTTTTTCTGAGAATGAACTAGTTTTGTTTCTTTTTCAATCTGATTGATGAAGAAATATTTTCAAATGAAATTGTCTATTTGATAATTTACCTGATTTTTCCAAACATGTTTATTAATGACAAAGCAGAGCTTATCAAACTACATTACTTGATGTCCAAGATAAGTAAATTTATTTTCTAAACAATACATTATTCCCCTTTTAAGTAGCCCATGGACATAATAAGTTATAGTTAGGCTTGAATAATACCTTAAATATTAGTATTCACTTTATTAGTAAAGTGAAAAATATTTTTTGTCAGGGTAAAACAATGGGACTTGACAATTTGCAAGAAAAAGTAATAATTTACTTGTTGTGAAGTAAGAAGTATTTCTTTTTGTAGAATAAAACCATATCATTGTTGTGAATTTTGAATGTCATTTAAAATGTTACATCTATCAAGAACAATTCTGTCAAATACATTTATATTCATTTACACTTTAGGCCTTATGCTGTGAACCTTTTCCCCTGTCTGGTCAAGATTTCACAAAGAAAAGAGGAAGAATCTGTTCAGGAAACACTGGGTGTAGCAATAGGAAAAATAATGCCTATTCTTGGGAAATTTGCTAATGACACAGAAATAAAGGTACATTAACTCTAAAATCATTATTGTTATTTTAATAGTCTAGGAGGAGATTCTCTCAGTATTTGTTCAATATCCTTGAAAATCTCCCTTAAGATTTCCATGTATGTTGTAAAATCAAAATGTGTTATCAGTTTTTTTCTATGGTAATTTGTTTCAGGGTGCAATATACTCTTAACTAAAATGTCTTGACACAAAGTCAGGATTACTGACCTTTTTCTATTAAACATTAAGGCGTAACTAAAGATAGTATATATTTCTAATTTTCAGCAGTAAACTTGCCAATAATATTTTTCACTTGTGAAGAGTTAAAAGCCTATATTATCAACCAGTCAGAAGACATGAATGAAATTATTGTATGCAAAATCCATTTTCACCTTACAACTTCAATTACAAACATAAGAGACCTTTGTAAATGTAGGCAAATTGAAATTTTCAGTAATTTTCATTAGTATTTAACTGATGTGTATCAGGAGTCAAAACATTTTTTTTAAATATAAAAGGGTTAAACTAATTTGATATTACTCCACTGTTTATCATTTTCATATGAAAAATCAACTAATTTTTTACATTGCTAATTTATAGTAGCAGGTCATTTCCCCAAGTTAAAGCAACCAGATACAAAAATAAGCAACTCTCTTCCTGACACATGATCTAGTTAGACTAAAAAGCTAGTCTTATCAGAATTTGAATTAACAATGCACTGAACACTACTTCAAAATAACTCTACATAATATACTACAAAGTGATCTTTTGATTAAACTGAGAAGTGGTGTGACCCTGAAGATTCTCATTATTATTATGTGCTTATGCTAAATGCTGGTATTAGCTTTAGAGTTTAAGCATCTTTTTTGTCAAGAAATATTGAATTTTATACTATAATACATGTTATTATGAACGGTGTATCATGATGGCTGAAAGCTATCTTGTTGATCCTGAAGTAATAGGTCTGTGAAAATGTAATTACAAATGGATAAAAGAAAAATACATTATTAGTAACATGTTGTACATGTGTTAGACCATGATTCACTTGAATTTAACTGACATATACAGATTATTTTCATTAGATTTATTATATGAAGCGTATGACCAACTTTGTGTAATACATATGCATATTCAGTGCACTTTGTGAATGGGTGCATTGCTTCTTTTAAATAAATTAAATAAGAGTACAGTAGTCTTTCCTTAACATTTTCTATTGAATTAAAATAATTAATGCTAGAATGTTTACAGAATTATTAACATTTTCCAGCAGTAATGTGCTCAAATATACATGTAGTGAGTTTGATGTTTGATTTTTAGCTGGTAATAACTAAGTAACTACATACATGTACGTACATACAAGGTTTAATAGAATTTGTAAAATTTGAAAGCTTTATGAATGTTTATATGCTAAAACAGAGAATGATGTGTTACACAGCTTTTGATTGGATACTACTGAATGAAACTACTTTTACATGTCATAATGAAAATCCTTTGTGATTTTCCCATTTATGAGAACTGTATGGTTCAAAGGCTCACACAAACAGTTTGCTACCACAAATTGTGCTTATGCTTATATCGTACCTTAAAACATTTAGTGGTTAATCTCTTTTAGAAAATCAAATCATTAAAGGTTGTCGAACAAAGACCAGTTCCACTGTTAACTGCCTATGACTCCCTGCGAGTCAATTTCAACCACCTATGAATACTTCTCAGAATGATAAGCAGCATATCAGCAGGATTTCTTAATATACCAAGAAATGCTTCTTGTATTCTGTGAGCCTTTCAACCTTTGGTGAAATTCACTGGCTATGGGAACTGTAGCGTATGGGAAATGTGTTTCCTTCCCAGACAGTACTAGACTCTGTCAGACTGGGATTATTATCACTTTTTTGTTCTTTTTCAATTTGTTTGTAAACTTTGTATAAATTTATTAAATTATGTTGATATGTTGCCTATCAGTCTTATTAGTTTTCACAGGCATTCATGAACATTAATGGGATATCATTATTAGAACCTGAAAATGCTACATGCTCCTCCTACTCTGTTACTTTTTGTGGTAGATTAATCATAATTATTGCCATTCTTTTAACTACACAAATTAAATTTTAATATAAGAGCTCTGTTAAGGATTTAATGGCCTACTTAAGAATTAAAGTATTTGATGAAAACCTATTATTAAAAATTGTATATATTTGATGAGTAGAAAAGATAGAAATATCAATGTACTGTTAATGTAAAAATGAAAAATAGTTTGAAACTTAGTCTGCTCATGTAGTTTGTAAATTCTTCTACAAAAATCCCCCCAAACAACAAAGATATATATGTCATGAGAAACATTGACTTATATAGTCTTTTGTTAGACAAAATAATATACATATATATAAGCTTTATTTTGAAAAATTATTTATTTTTGCTAGTCTTAAGTGATACAATATAATAATTATGATACATTTATTTATAATGTATCTTTATTTTTCACCATGCAGATGCTCTTGAAGGCTTTTCTTCCAAACTTAAAATCATCATCTCCTTTAGTAAGAAGGACAGCTGCATCATCTCTTGTAATTGTTTGTCAGAATTCTCGAAAGCCTCAGTTTTTCTACAACTGGCTGTTAACATCTTTATTGGGTATGTTAAACAGAAAATTGTTGAGAATTGTTTAAGTTTACGTTGGAGAAATTACATAACTACTTACATCAAAATGTTTATACTCTGAACTAAAAAATATTATATATCTTATCTCTGTCCTTTATTACTTAATGCTGGTTCTTTTAGTTTAGCTGAGAGTAGTTCCTTTTACTCCTTTTATCATTTGTGACTGTTTTAATATTGGAATATTTTGCAAATTACATATTTTTAAGGATTTTTATGGTATTTTGATGTTAGATTTTTTATGCCAGTTATGTTATTATATTGTTTTATCTTTACTTCTACATTGTGCTTATTCAACCTTATTTTCAGTCTGTGTTTTATTTTGCTGTATACTTATCCTGTGACAGTTTTTTTGTAGATATACTTAGCTTTGTGTTTCTTGTGTTTATATGAACCTTTTTTTCTTTCTTTTCTATCTGATTTATATTCTGCTAGTTTTACTTTTGATTTCAAAGCTTATTCAACAGTAGTTGTGAATTCATTTTATTTTTTACAAGTATGCTCTGTTTCAGTATTACAGAATGGTGGTAGTCACCTTTAGGTCATTCTGGACTTTATATAATTTAAGTCATTGCATTTTATTTAACCACATTCCTGAAATACTTTTGGTGAGTCTTTATGGTTCTGTATTAGCTTTTTTTCTCATTATATATATTTGGTAACATAACAAGTTCCTTTGATTTCAAACATCATAGTGTAATGAGGGATTCTTTAATGTCACATTCTCTTAAGAATTCATTCATGATTTATACATTATTATTATTTTAATGTTTTTCCCAGAAGTTGGGATTTGAATTTGGGATTTTAATATGTTGATTTGTTTTTTTGGATCCTACCATATGTGGCTGAGTCAAATCCCATAGACTACTAAAACTTCATTTAACTGATGTGACATTTCAGGCTGATGTTTTTGTTTCTATATAGGTTGGAAGATGCCTAGGAAAATTTCTCTTCTGAGTAGGCTGTCCTTTCTGTTTCACTTTTTTTTATACCTCCAGATTTGTATTTCTCATTATCCTTTCTCTGCCTTGGTTTATGAAGAGGAAATCTTCCACTTACTTTTCTATTCTGCTTCTGACACTATGTGTGCACACTAATTTTTACAGTAGTTTCTTCAAGGGGTGAAACAAGAAATACAAGGCACTTGCTTTTTCATAAACAGGTTTTTTATCTTTAGACCACCTATTCCATTATTGTGAATGGGTTGTACTAGTTCTGTTATAGCAAATTATATCTATCATAACCTGGTCAACATTGTTTCCTGTCATATCATTTCCATGAATTTTGAATCCTTATTTTGGAAGTCTGATAGGAATAGCCATAGCCCAGAAGTAATTGGTGCCTTTTTATTTCTGTTGTTGAGTTTCACATAGATTAGACTATTTATCTATGTATTAAAAAAAATTTTTGTTAAAGTAAGCTTTACATATACTTGGTTAATTCCACTGAGATTTAAAACAAAATCACTTATCTAATTACTTGTCTGATTCGGTAATCTGAACTGTACATCAACTTGGATAACTCCAAAGAGAGAACAGATTTTATAATTTCCTTCCTGAATCTGGACTTACCTTTTCCAGAGTTTGTTTAGCCATTTATTCACAAAAGCTTCTTTTATAAAAAAAATTCTGAAGCTTTTGGAAAAAAAAAATATTATTTTGATTCTTGTGTTGTATGGTTAGTTTTGATGTAAAAATATTTTTCACATATGCTCTGGATTAGAATGTGATTAACTGTGCATGGGAATATTATCAGCATGACTCCAATCCCAGATCCTGTTTAGATATTTCAGTCTTTAGATTATCACTTCATTTTTCTGCAGCTAGTACACATTTTTGTTTTCAAGGTGTTACTATGAACAAATGACAGATCTAAGTATGGGACATCCAGTTTTGCCTGTTTTAACCAATATATTTACTACCAAGATAGAAGAAACTATTTTTACTTACTTACATCCAACAAGTTTTTGGATGCATTCTGTGGATGACATTTTTATGGCTTTTAAAGATTCAAGTTATACCAACAATTTTTTTTCAAATCCATCCCAACATTAAGTTTGTATGTTGAAATCATTGACAAAGGAGACAATATTAGTCATAGAAACATTAAAGAAGCTCTTTTTATAAAACAAACAAACCTAACACTAATAAACATACAGTTGTACAGTTATGTTTATTCTAATTTTTTCTTTAATGCTTAACTGTTGTTGATTTCTATTACATTATTTCTAAAGAGATAATATCATTCTGATATTGTAATACATGATAGTTTGAACTGTTGTAAGATTCTGTTCAGAGCTTGCCGGTGAAATATATTGTTTTTTCTTGTTTCTTATCAATAAGTAAAAAATATGTATTTAATTTTACTTCTACAAACAAGCTACATTTGATTAATACTCCGTCTTTTTTTCAACATGATGCATTTGATTTGTGCTTGGTTTAGCCCACAAGCTTAAAATTGTCTTTAATAGCTTCTTTTGTAGTTTATGAAGGTCACGGGTTCAGATCCTCGTCCTACCAAATATGCTTACCCTTTCAGCCATGAGAATATTATAATGTGATGGTCAATCCCACTATTCATTGGTAAAAGAATAGCCCAAGAGTTGGCAGTAGGTGGTGATGACTAGCTGCCTTCCCTCTAGTCTTTCATTGCTAAATTAGGGATGGTTAGTGTAGATAGCCCTTGTGTTGCTTTGTGCAAAATTCAAAACAAATCAAACCAAACTTTTGTAGTTTGTTCAGACATGGATATGTAAGATACTGTTTTATATTATTGGCTATTTTATCATATTTTTATCCATTACTCTTCATGACACCTACTTTTGCAGTCTAATCTTCAAAGTTGATAAAGGATTAAATATAATATTTAATCACATTGTATTACAATTTTTAAAGGACATACAAAAGAACCTTTGTATTACTCTAGATACGTTTTTTTATATTACTTTCTAATCATGACCAATAAAACATTGGGTGTACCAACTTTATTTTGTTATGAGACATATGCTACTTTCCATGGATTTACTAATTGTGTTAATGTAAGTGTTACTTCCGTAACCTATATCGCTGTATCTAATACATGTGGCCATCCATGAGCATATATATATTCAACTCATTCCCTCATCATCATGAAATAAATAATCACAGGCAGAATTGAGCTGAACTAAGACTTCAACTCCTGAAGTGTCACTCTTGGAATCATTACATACTGTTTGGTGTGGCATTACTGCTACTGCAGTGGATTTCACTCCAACACAATGTCCAGGATTTGGACATTCAGTGAACAGACAAGATATCACAATCCAGCTTGACAGTTCATCAGCATTTCTGTGTTGCAGGTCTGGGCAATGCTATACAAGTCATCCTCTTGTAGCATCATAATCCAATGTGCAATAATCTTTTCCAGCTCAACTTGCCAATATCTGGGTACCTTGAGAGTGGCGTTCACCCCCATAAAATTGCACAAACCTTTTTTTGTGCCATCCTTTCTAACAATTGCCATTTCACCACTGGTGGTGATCAAGCATTTCTAAAGGCTGTATGATTCCATCCTTCAGTATGTCTACCAGAGCATCCTATGCATCATGTGTATATATGTTGCTCAACCCAATGGCCGTCTGATCCCATAAACACGGTGGAATATTCGACCAGCAACTTGCTGAGTTCTTGTCATTGTGTTGAATCCAGATTTCTTACACGGTCATCAAACATAGATCTCATATGTTCTAGTACCAGGCATGATACAATAGAAGTAACCCAAGTGAACACTAGTTCCAACTACTTTCACCTTACTTACAGCCATCTCAGTGTGAAGCTGGATACCCAGTTATCGATAATTACTGAGGAAAACTGGGACAGTGCCACCACTTGAACAGAGTACAGTTTGAGTGAGTGCAGTCTGTTTTTTTGACAAGTAAAATAATATTTCATGAGATGGGTCTATCATGTAGCAGATAGTGATAATGCAATAGACTGCTCCACAGTACAACACAGGACACCACTTGTGTACATAGAGGTAATGTGATTCCCTCACCATATGCACTCATGCCATCCGCTGCTTTCTAGCTCAATCTGGCAAGCACTTCTTGTTTTTCTATTGAAATGCAGCTGACCCATTACACAGGCAAAACTGCTTGACAGCTTTTGCAGTAAATT